CACATTATTATGATGACCTTCAATAGGTTTCTCCACCTCAAACGTAATCATCATTAGGAGCTTCACCTTCTTTTCTTTTTGAATTTGTCATTTTTTTCTTATAGTTGCACATAAACCATTTATTATTCATTATAAGAAATTAAATAAGCTAATAAAGTATTCAAAAATAAAATGATAATTATATAACTTAAAACAAACAGAAAATAAATTCAAAAAAATAAAGAAAAATGAAAGAAAATCATAGGACTTATAATTAACACCACAAAATGATTCACAAAAAATACTCAATAAACAAGTTTATAATTAAATTCCTCTAGTTTATTTTATCTTTTATTTAGTTCTTTCTATTTTAACTAATAATACAAAGGATTCAAAAAAGTAAAAAAAAATTGTAACTAACATCAAAAAATATTTTTAAAAAATAAAACAAATATTTAGATAACAAAATATGAATGTAACTAATTATTAATTAAATATTTAAAATAATAATTTCATAACAATTCTATAACAATCCAAAATTCAACTAGGAAGATAAATTTAATTTTTAAACTAAGTAATTGTTGGGAATTTGAGAGTGGAAAAAATAACGAAAGCGATATCAACCTAAAATATGATATACCCAAGAGACGAGATTTAATGTTGTTCGACCCTGTCTATTTTCACGGGCGAGATGAACAACAATCCACTATAAATATAGAGAACACGAATAGTATAATAAAAAAAACCATTCCAATATTAGAATAGTAGTAATAATAATATAATTTACTTGTATGTTTCACTTTAATATTGAGTTGACAAATCTTGAAGCAAAAATGAAAAGGAAAAACTGATATTTTGAAATGGTGAAGAAAAAGAGTAAGAAATTTAGAAGAAAGATTCAGAAATTTAGAAGAAACTATCTCCTAGAATTGTGGAGAAAATGAGAATTGTGGAGAAAATGAGAATTGTAAACTATCTCCATTGGTTCTTTGTATGTTATTGTGATTTTTTTTGTAATCTTTTGATTTTTAAATCCATTTTTTTCTATTAATTTTTACCACTTATAAATAAAATATCTACTCTTTGCTTTAGTCCTTTAAGCACGCACTTCTGTTCTGTCAATTTTTTCTTTAGTCAAATGTATTTGTTCAAGAATTGATTCTCTTCTTTACTTTATTTATAATATTATTTTTATCTACTTATTCTTTATATTATAAATTAGATAAAATTTTACATTTTTGTAGTGAAAAACTAAAATACATGTAGTATTATAGTGAAATACATATAGTATTACGAATACTAAATATTATAAAATACGAGGAGAGACTTTTCTTCCTTCTTTAATTTTTTTTATAAAATATAGTATTATAAAGTGGATTTCTCTTTTATGCAAATTTTTTATAATAATAAATAAACATAGAATTATGGTGCTTAACGTAGAATTTAAGAATTTAATTTAAAATTTATTCAATCAATTTTTACTATGAGAGTTGATTCAATTAAACTAAAATAATCTTAAGATAATTTAATTTTAAAATAACTTGAATAAATAACTTAAACAATTTTAAATTAAATTAACCAATTTTAAACATATATATTACATTATTACTAATTATATATATTTATAATCTATTCTTAAGGATTAAATAAAAATATTTCATCTATGTAATTTTATATTTTGGATAATTTAAAGTTTGTTGCGGTATTGTGGTGTTGCGGAATAATTTATAACATGTTGTGGCGTTACGTAGTGGATTTAGATCGCAAAAGTCACGATACGGTTTCCTTATCGTGTAATGTCGATATTGTGTCGCGATAATTACGATGTTTAAGGCTCAAGGGCACGCTAGTATTGGCGTGAGTGCAGTGATGGTGCTTGGATAGTGGGCTCGTTGTGAGTTGGGGTATCTTAAGTTTGATGGTGATTTTAATGGAGTTGTCTCTATACTCTTAACAGTATGTGTTCATAGCATGAACCGAGTGGTCTATGTGGTAAAGGAATGGTTATCATTCCTTGAGACTTGGGTTAGTGTGAGCGTTCAATGTTAAGAGGTTGAAAGTTATCTTAGAACAAATACTACTGTGTACTTCTCCCAGATTAACAAAAGAAAAAGTATGGGTTCATAAAATGACTAACCTCTCCCTAGACAAATGTTTGGGGATTAAAATAGAGTTTAGGTTATCCATGATTTAGGGATAGGGTGGTTGAGAATTCAAAAATTTATAGGTTGAGAGAGTATTAATTGTGATGGATTTAATTAGAGACTTTTGGGGTTTGAGATGTATTTGGGTCTTATGGTTTTGGATTGGTGGTTAGCTAATTGGGCTTGGATTCCAGCTCATTTTGGCCTTGACTAAACCCGAAAACAATGGGTGTCCACACAGACCATCGAACAACTGGGTATTTAAAGCCTCGTGAGCTTAAACTTTTGTTTTGCTTTCGGAATTAAAAATTGGGTAAACTACACGGGTAACCACCCAACTATGGTAAAAAATCAATTTGACCATCAATGTTTCGATTTGATCAATCAGACCGCCCTACTATTCAAATACTTCAATCAAGCCACATGTCGTTAACATTTAACAGAGTAGATGACACAATAGTTAAATCATTTTTGGTATATTTATACAATTGATCCATGCTAATTATATATTCTTTCAATTTGGTCCTAATTTTAATAAGTTAAAATAGATTTAACCCTCGAATCAGGATGTGTCATGTGTCATTAGTGACAAATGTCATGACACTTGTCATCATTAGACTAGATGACTAAATTTATTTTTAAGACAATATATTTATTTTCCTACAATTAGAGAGGTTGAGAGTTATCTTAGAATAGATGTTGCCTTATACTTATCCCAGATTAATAAAAAAAATAGTATGTGTTCATAAAATGACTAACTTATTCCAAGACAAATGTTTGGGGATTAAAATATAGTTTAGGTTATCCATGATTTAGTGATAGGGTGGTTGAGAATTTAGAAATTTATAGGTTGAGACAGTATTAATTGTGAGGGATTTAATTAGAGACTTTTGAGGTTTGAGATGTATTTGGGCCTTATGGGGTTGGATTGGTGGTAAGACAATTGGGCTTAGATTCTAGCTTATTTTGGGCTTGACTAAACTAGAACACAATGGGTGTCTAAAGCCTCGTGAGCTTAAACTTATGTTTTGCTTTTGGAATTAACGATAGGGTAAACTACACGGGTAACCACTCAACTGTGGTCAAAAATTAATTTGACCACCGATATTTTGATTTGATAAATCAAAATACTTCAATAAAGCTACATGTCGTTAACATTTAATGTAGTAGATGATGCAACAATTAAAGCATTTTTGGTATATTTATACAACTGATCCCTGCTAATATATATTCTTTCAATTTGGTCATAATTTTAACAAGCTAAAATATATTTAACCATCGAATCAGAATGTGTCATGTGTCATTAGTGACAGGTGTCATGACACTTGTCATCATTAGACTGAATGGCTAAATTTACTTTTAATATAACATATTTATTTTCCTACAATTAGAGGGTAACCCATTTAAACCTCATTAAAGAAAATAAATCACGCAACAGTAATGGGTGTGGGGGTATTCAAACACAATACCCTGGGCTGAAATAATAAGGAGCCAAGGCATCCATTTGGTATACTTTGGACAACAAATAATATATATCTTGTTTCTTAGTATGCAAATGTTTTACTCAAAATTAATAATATTTTATATATTTTTCAAAATATATATCTTTTATTTTTGTTTTAACTTATTAAATATATTTTATTTATGTCTTAACTTATTAAATATATTTTATTTTTATTTTAATATAATAATATATATTTTATCTTTATCATAACTTAAATTTTTTAAATATATTAATTTAAATATATTTAAATATTTGATTACTTTAATATAGAAATATATACTTTATTCTTATATTCGCTTAAAAATATACTTTATTCTTGTTTTATATTAAAATATATTTTATTATTATCTTAACATTTAAAAAATATTTTATTAAGAATAAAATATAATTTAATTTAAGATATTTAAAAAACTTTTTAAAAAAACTTTTTTTTAAAAAAAATTTAAAAACATTTTTGAAATTTATTAAGAATAAAATATTTTTTAAGGTAAGATATTTGAAAATCTTTTTTTTAAAGCTAAGTTAAGAATAAAATATATTTTTAATTTAAAATAAGAATAAAATAAGTTTTAAGTGAAGATAAGAATAAAATATATATTTTCATATTAAATTAATAATAAAATATTTAAATATATTTTAAGTTAAGATATTTTAAAAATATATATATTTTTAAGTAATGATAATGATAATATATATATACACACATTAAAATAAAAATAAAATATAATATAAAGATATTTTTAACATTTAAGATATATAAAATATTATTAATTTTGAGTAAAACATTTATTTACCAAGATACAAGATATATATCATCTGTTGTCCAATGTATACTAAATGGTTATCTTGGCTTAATGATTTGGCTCTTATTAATCCAACCAAGGGTTGTGTGTTTAAATCCCCTTATCTATTGATTGCATGAAAATAAATCTATTAAATTAAAAATAAATTTAGTCTTCCAATCGATTGATGTCACATGATACCTTCTGATTCAATGGTTATATTTATTTTAATTTATTAAAATTAAGTCCAAATTATAAGAATATATAAGTAACATAAACCAATTGTGTAATTATACCAAAATAATTTAACTGTCGTCACCTCCTCCATTAAATTTTAACAGAAAGTGGCTTGATTGCAGAATTTAAATAGTTGAGTGATCTGATTGATCAAATCAAAACATCGGTGGTCAAAACAATTTTTTGACCATAATTGAGTGGTCACCCGTGTAGTTTACCCTTAAAAATGATAATTATAGTGAACTTAGGTTAAACAAATATCAAGAGCCAAAAGGGTAGCTTACACTACTGCATTCAATGTTTCGACTAGCACATGAGCCTAAATATTTAAAAGCATTATACCCGTATGCTCCCTTTGAAAAAAATATACAACAAAACTTTAACAACTAGAACCTAACCCAGCATCTAGTACATTGTGCCATACAACCTCCCTTACAATCCACATTGTACCCCATCACTTTCGGATTCCTAAGAAGAAGGTTTTTAAGAGATTTACCTTTTATCCCCCAATCCTTTTCAAGTATCTGCACATTTGTTCTCAACTCATGTTCAATATCGCATCCGAGAACTTCGGGAAATTTCTTTAGCACCTTGCGAAGATCATCATCTGACAGACTTAGACTTCTTAGATATTATAATATTTCGTTAACGATTTCGAACTTTGGTTCTTCCTTCTCGCGCTCTTCGCCCCAATACGGTGAATGGACGTGCCCGAATGCCTTTCCGAGTATCTTGTCTTCCTCCTCCATGCTGAAACCGAATGCCGACAATGCCTGCATGCATGCTTCCCATGTCTTTCCCTCTGTGTTCACGTATATCGCCAATTTCTTCGGAGAAAAATTGGAGGTAAGAATTGTCGTTACCGCTTTCTGCGGGAGCCTACTCAAGAAGTTTACACTGAATGGTACAATATTTAGAGCAGATGTTGTACCATTAGGCTGCATCAAGAATTCATGAAATACACGTACGCAAATAATTAAACTTCCAAATATTGTACATATGCTAAAGAATTAATTTTCATCTAAGTGTGGACTACCTATCATTTTATTGCATTGGTATATTGTTTTTATTACATGCTATTGACACATAAGTTGTTAGTTAGGGAAACACACAGAACGTGGCCCCGATGAAGCAGGCATTAGTGGAAGAGATTTTTCACAAGTTTTATAACGCAATATGTTCCCAGAAGGACAACACACTAATAAAAGAAAACATCGAAAAGAATCCGTGATACCTGTCTGATATTTATCCAGAATGAGATACCTACAACACAAAAACAAGAAGTTGCAGAATCCAATGTCAACACAGAAGAAGCCCATGATTTCCCATGCATCCTTGCCCTGCTTAACAAATGACCAATACAGTCTGAACGAGAACGAGTCATATTCAAAGTCATAACAAGATTGCTATATTACGTTCAAGATTATTGTGAGACATGCAATTAGCGCCAAGGTATCTTACATTTCAGTAGCCAACTAAGTTCAAAAACACCTACCATGGGTTTAAGGTGCTTTTCCAAAAATGTCATTTTGTGGCTACAGCATATTCAGTTTTGCAGAGTTCAAGTTTAGGCTGTCTCAAAACCACTTGGTTTAGAGTTCTTGTAGGAAGAATAAGCACTTGAATAAACTGCCTCGACTGCATGATAACTAAAATTTTCCTGGCAATAGACCTTCTTGTTATAAGCTATTTTGCTTGCAATTTTCGTTTTTTCTTAAAAAAATCTGTGTCCCGTGCTCGTGTCCAACATTTGAATATAGGAATATGACCTCAAAGGATCCTCCAAACACACAAAGAACTTTAGAAAAATCTAGCATTAACCGATACATACACATATCCAACAATCACACCCTAGTTTGAGTAACATAGTAAAACCATATCAGAAAAAGGTCAAAACTCCAAACTGCTAGGTGAGCCATGGAAGATGTTTAAATTCATTTTGAAGTTCTTTAAACAATAGAATTCCCATTTTATTCTTTAACAAGTAGATCCATGGTATCAAGGAGAGAAAATATCATTCAACTAACTTAGTATATTGGAAGGAGTTGGTTCGAAATGACAACCTAACAAGAAATTCCTGTACGAAAAACAATCTCAGAATTTCAAAATTGCTTTGACATTGCAGCTGGAAAGCATATAATTCCAGTATTTAGGCTAGCTTTATTCAGGGAACCATGGTGTAAACCCAAAATAGAGGCCTCATCAACATTGATGGATCCTTAAATATTTGTCAAGTGAACAGACATATATTAATAATATAAGATTTTTATTCGGGTGATCACAGATAAAATTTTAGTATATGCACACAGTAAAATGAATAATTACCCAAAAAAAAATTCGAATTTCATGATGGACACGTGCCCAGCTTGAGAACAAGCTGCATCCGCCACTGTTCGTCAAGTAACCCACATGCACCCTTATGTAAAACCTAATTCCCCATTTATGCTGCGATAACAAAATGCTTAGTCCTTGAAATCCTTTACTTCGATCATCAATCTCTTGAAACTGAAAAAGTGCAACAAACCCAAAGCTTATCCTAATACAATCCATTAACTGAACTCGTTTCATCAAGCAAAAAATCATCAGAAAACCATAAGTTTGATAGAGAATTATGATTTCCAGATGAGAACATATTCAACAACATAAAAAACATGGACCAAATTTTACTATCAAAAACGAAATTGGGAAGAGAAAAATTACCTGAACAAGAGAGTGTTGTCGTTGCTGTTGAAAAGAGAAGAATGATGATGTTTTGTTTGAAGGTAGGGCTGTAAATGAGACGAGACAGATCGCGAGCTACTCGAGATCGACTCGATAAATACTTGGATCGAATGGACTCGACTCGAGCTCGAACTCGACTCGAGTTCTTAACGAGCCGAAACGAGCTACTCGATATTCGACTCGAAAAGCTCGTGAGCAGCTCGAAAAAATATTATATTATAATTTTATATTTTTTAAAATTACATTATTAAAAATATATTAAAAATACATTATTGATGAATAAATATTCTTGAATTGAAAATGGTTAAAAATTATTTTTGAATAAATATTCTTATATTTATTTTAAATTGATAAAAAAAAATTATTTCTCTAATGACAAATATTTAATATATTTCTAATGAAAATATTTGTAATAACTAATTTTTTAAATTGTTGTTATATTTTGAGGTTTTGGGTTCAAATATCATAAATATCAAGGGTTTGAGCATTTAATATCAAGATATTATATTGTACTTACCTCATAACTAATTATGTGATAAGGTTTAGGGTTTAGAATTTAGAGTTTATGTGATAGGTTTTAAGGTTTAAAGTTTAGAGTTTATGGTTTATGTGTTAAGGTTTAAGGTTTATGTGTTAGGGTTTAAGTTATGCCATGAAGGTAACATACAAATTATGCAAAATGATGTTATGTGGCTCATAAATAAATTATTCACATACTTATACATAAACATATCAACATGCAAAATAAATATACACAACTAATTAAAGAAAACAATCCTAATCAGATACTAAATTAAGAAAAATCTAAATGTGAGGACTAATTTAAGCTAAAATTTAAATAATTGAGGGACTGTTTTGTACAAAACGCATAAATCTAGAGAGCCTAAAGCTAATTTACCCCTAAGGATCAAATTCGAGTTTGAGTTCGAGCTTTAATCGAGTTCAAGCTTGAATCGAGCTCAAAATCGAGCTTCAATCGAGCTCGAGTCTCGAGCTTCAATCGAGCTCTTGAATTTTTTTTTAGTTCGAGCCTTTTCGAGTTCGAGTCGAGCTTGAAAATTTTAGGCTCGCGAGTTTTCGAGTCGAGTCGAGCCTACATTTAAAGTTTTCGAGTTCGAGTCGAGCTCGACAATACTCGAGCTCGACTCGGCTCGTTTACACCCCTATTTGAAGGAGAAGAAGAACACATCCCAAATATTCGCACCACATATGCTACCTTTGAGTTACGTTTTTTGATTATCGTCATTGGCCAGCCTTTCAGATTAGGTAAACTATACATGTAATACTTAAACTATTACTTTTATTCTGTTTTGGTAACTCAATTATTTTTGTTTCAAAATTACGTCCGACGTTACATTTTAGTTTTATTTTGATCACTATCGTTAAATAATAACAATAATATTGATGTATCACTATAAGATAATGTCATGTCATCGTTTAAATTTTTTGAAAAATATCACATTAATAGTTATGTTATTTTTTAACAATGGGTAACTAAAATAAAATAAAATAAAAACATTAAATATGATTTTAAAAAAATAATAGTTGAATGACTAAAATAAAACAAAAGTGATAATTATGACATTAAATGTGTAGTTTACCCTGTCATTTTTAAGTGGATGACCTTTTGTTGTCGTTTTGGATTTTCTTTAAAGATAAAAGTAGTTGTTTGTGATATTTTGGACCTGCTGTGATGGATAAGGCCTAACCATCTTGTAAATTTGTGGATATCATTGTCTTAGGGTTTTATTAAAATATAAGTTAAAAAACAGTTCATTTAATATTTTATTAATTTAATTAACAAAATAACTTTGTCTAAAATATCTCATTTAATATTTCATTCATTTAATTAACATACTAAATAATGTTTTAAAAATAATTAACAATAATTATTTACTATGATTTTACACGTGCAAGAGTTAACCTTGTTTTATTAAAATATAAGTTTTTTAATTATTCATAAATAAATATCATTTATTTTTAAAATAATAAAGTAATTCAAAATAGAATATTTTTAAATAAGATAAGGTGATTAAAAGGTAGTATTATCAAATAGAGACGAAATAATCGAGCATTATTCGAAATTTTCAATCTCATATAAACTTTGTATTATAAATAATTTTGATAGAGTGTAACGCCCCAATTCGATTCGACCTGAAGGTCAAATGACTAAAGCTTACATGAGACCAATGATAGAAAAGCGGCAGCGGATGAATGAAAGTTGCTCTCGTCGAGGAAACAAACCTAGAAAGCTCTAGACTCGATGATGAAACGAGAAGAAAATGGAAAATGATGATGTGCGACAGCTAGGGTTTTGTGGAGCTTAGGTTACTAGAAAATTGAACAATAGAGATAAGATGATGATAAATAAGATAGAATAAAGAGAATGAAATAAAAAAAACAAAGATAAAGAATATAAAATGATGGAGATAACTTAGCCAAAATTAGGGTTTTGGTGATAATGGGCGAGAATGGTGATTTGATGATGGAAGATGGAAAATAGATGGATAAATATCCTATTGAACCCTCTTAGTCACAATGAAAAGGAAAACTCGATAATACGACTCTAACCATGCCTCTTAATCAAAATGAATAGGAAAATTGGAGTGTAAAGATCTCTCTCTCAAGAACTCAGAAGAACTAAAACAAAAAGAAGCTTCAAAGGAACAAGGAAATAAGCTTTTGCAAAACAGAACTCTTGGAGTATTGTATAAAAGAATAAAACTTGATTACAATGATGGGAGGAAATCATCATCCTTTATATGGGTGAAGGAGTCCTTGTTGTAGTATGACTAATGCTTAAAAATAATAATAAAAATAACAATAATAACATTATCCTAATTCCTAATAACAATTAACTAATGATAATTGTTTTAACTCTATCTTAATTCCTAATAAAATAATAAATCTAATCCTTACTGATAATACATCATCCTATATTAAATTATATTACAAATAATCAATAAAAATATTGAAAATTCGTAATATTTACAAAATCCCGCATTAATCTCGTATAGGAATTTCTGCATGCACTGTCTTCACTAAAATGAGTGTATCTTGAGTTCCCGATATCAAATTGATGCGATTTAAGAACTGCTGGAAAGCTAAGAGAGTCGGTCGTAAGATAGAAGACATGTTGACCAAATAAAATCATGATCCCATTCAAAAAGTAGTCACAAGTATGCTGTTATTCTGTTTTTCTTTTCCAATTCTACAACTATATGAATTTTTTAATGTTCCTCAACGAGTGTAGATAAAATCTAGAAAAATCCAGCATGAAATTCATTCTGAAATATTCTCTACAAATTCGTCAATGAAAAGTTCCCAAATCCGTCGATCAAACGCAGGATCAACTTGAGTAATGCTTATGAAATGGGTTTCTGATCTCCAAAAATTATGAACTTTTTTGTGAATATATTTGTAACACCCCAAATTTCGGGCTAGTAGTTTCAGGTTTACCCGAGAGGTAAGTGGACCTCGTGAAATTCATAAGTAAGGTTGTTGGGCTTAATTGGGTTTGGATTTAGGCACAATTAGCCATAAAAAGGGGGTTTTAAATTGTAGAAAAATAAGGAATGACTAATTGTGCAATTTCCCCATTTTGCAATGATGAGGGGTTTATATCTCATCATATTTCTTTTCTTTTCATTTCTTCTTCCTTTATCTTCTCTAAGTAGCCATAGCTCTAAGATAAGGTCTTGAACTTTTTTCTTGTTTCATTTTCGTTCTTAATCCCCCTTGCAACATAGTTTTAAAGAATCAAAGTCTTGGTTTAATCCCATCTAAAGAAAAGTGGGGGTTTTCATCCACATCACCAAGGAATAAAGTGTGACTAAGAAATGAGCTCAATTTCAGGATTCAAACATCAAGTTAGTGTATTTCTAATCCTTTTTGGTGTCATGATTTCCATAAACCATAATGCTTGTTAAATATTTGAGTAATTGGGTATATTAGGGGTTGTCTTTGATTCTTGCCATGGATGATGTTTTTGTTGAAAAGCTAGTGTTTTTATAGTGCTAGATGACCCTAAATAACTTCTATAAGATTTATTAAACATTTGGTGACAATGGGAACATTTTGAGAGTGATTAGGAAAGCTTTCTCATAAGAAACAGAGCAATATGAAGTAGAGGTTTTGAAACCCCCAAGCTGGTTTCAAAACCCCTTGTCCATAATGCAAATTTGGACTGTCGTTTTGAAACCTCCTAAGGTGGTTTCGAAACCCCTGCCTAAAATGTCTAAAATGGCCTAAAATGTTAACCAAAAGGTCCTAGACCCACAACATGACTATAAATGGGATCAAATATGTGTAAAACACTAGAATAAGTGCTAAAGAAGGTGTTTAAAGGCGTGTTACAATGGATGCAACCATATTAAGCGCAATAATCCCATGTATCTTCAGTGAAGTATGTATAAAGATATTTGAGGATGAGGATCGTTGCAGAGGATGTACCGACAAGTGGTACAATGATTGAGTCTGAATTAGTAATAGTGAAAAGCGTGAGCTTTGAGAACGTAGTGAACCCGAAAAGTGTAAGCCATCCCTTTCAGTTCAAGGGATATTGAAGGGAAGTACGATAAGAGTGACTGGAGTCTCACAACTCAGAGTTGAACCTGAGTCAGATATTGGGCTAGCAAATAGTATAGTTAGTGATCAACAAACTCAGTGATCGTCGGTTAATTAGGAACACCTAGAGACTTATCTTGAGTCAAAGTGACTAAAGTGTCCTTAAGTAAAGAATGAGCGTGATAGCTGCTACTAAGAGGATAACCTCACTTTAGTGAGTCCAACTATGCTAGGGTAAAGCCAGGCTACCTTAGTTGTCGTAATGGGGTATTACCAGTGCACGAGGCACTTCAGGAGCTAACTAGGGCACGAGGGTCGAACACTCGCGAGGAGTGGGTTAGTGGTGTCAGTGTTATGTAGCGCTTGGGCTTTATGTATGCATGGGTAGTAATCATTATGAATTGCCTTAAAGGCATAAGATACTAAAATACTATTAAGCTTATGCAAAATGTTCTAGGAGAGAGAAAGGTCA